TTTTTTTTTTTTTTTTTTGCTATCTGAAAGGCAAGATTTCAAATTTGTTTTGAGATATTTCTTCCTGCCCTTCACTCCCCACCCCTCCCCAATCTGGCAGTTGGAAAATTCTGTTATTTATATGATAATATATGATATGAATGATATATAAATATAATTTATATGATAATCATATAATATTTATATATAATTTATATCAAGTATGCAGAATAAACAAGGAAGTGATTTTATGATATTACTGAAAAGAAAATCTGATAAGCTATTGATAGCAATGTTTATTTTCCTCTTACACCATTTACTGATTAACTTGAGGCTTGAAGTACTCTGAGTGAAGCCTGAGTTCTTGGAGTGCAGCCACTGGTAAATGTTTCTTAAGAAAATTGCACAGGCTAGAGCATTTGTAATAGGAACTAACATTTTCTAATTCCTGGAGGACAGAGAAAAGCTCTGACAGAAGAGATACCTGCAGTCTGGTATTCCAGTGCCATTGGTAGTTTTGGTGTAACCAGCAGGACACTGGGTTTCAAGGTTTAAAGAACAAGGTACACATTCAGTTTTCATTCGAATGAGCAGCTTTTGATCACACTGCTTCTTCACCTGTAATAGGAGAAGATTCATTAAAAAGATGGAAAATGTTCTCTGAGTTGGTTTAACTCTGCCCCCAGTGGCATTGCTGAAAAATGACAATTTAACTCGGTTTTCTCACAGCCACAAGCGCTGTCCTCTTCAGAAGGAGCTCCCTGGTCTGGAGCTAAGCTAGGTAGTAGGACTCATATTAGGGCTTTGCAGTAGTCCTGTCTGCACAGAATATGTCCAACCACTGCAGGATAGACTCTTCTAAGTGTCATATTTCTCCCAAGAATACTTTATCACCAAATGCCAAGTCCAGCAGACGTAAAAGCTGGGTTACTGAGACAGCATCAGCCTACGAAGCATTAGTTCTGAAGTTGCCTCACAAACCCAAAGCAGGATGGAGAAAGACAAGTGCCAACAAGTGCCTTCTCCATTCAACGGCAAAACTAAACATAAGGTGTGGAGGAAGTTGCTCATAGCTCTGTGCACCTAGGGCACAGCACAAGCCTTTGTTCCTCTCAAAAGTGGATTTCATATTGTTAGTGCCACTGTATTGAACTAAAGGACTATGGCTGGTAGTATCAAAGTGGAGTACATGAATGATGTCTAGCTGTGCATTCAAATCTGGTAGAAGTTATGGGCCTGACTCCACCAGAACACACTGAGAAGAGCAGCCTCCTCTTTTTTTACTTAGACTGAGCCACAGAAGGAACCAGCCCAGCCTGGGAAATGTGGCATAGTCCTCCAGCTCTAATGCCAATGTCTAATGTCCCTTGCTGTGGAGGTCCCAGTTTCAAGAATGCAAATCTGACAAATGACTTGAGAAGGTGGCAAAAAGGAGAAAAGGCTTGGTGTATTGTCATAGTGGTGGTATTGTATATTGCGGTTGTAGAAATCATAGATTTGGAAATGTCTATATACCAAAACCTATCTGTTTCCTGCTGCTAAAGCAGTCAACCTATTTTAAAGCAGAAAGTCTTTGCTGAACTCCACTTAATGTTGGCTTCATCTTCTTTCTTCTTGGTGAGTATTTGTAAAAGCAAGTTCATAATTCACAAATGGTGAGAAATGATCTAATGCCAAATACAATCTTTAAAAAACAACAAAAAGTAATAAATTAAATCATCATTCGTGGAGAGGAAGTACTGTGAAGTGCTCCATTTTCTATTCCAAGATAAACATTTAGCCACTGTTCTCTAAGTAGGGACCCATTTAGGTGGTCTTAACTCACTCAAGCAATATTGACCATGAGAGACTTCCTATCTGACACAATAGAAATGAAATTAGCTCTCTGAATGGGATTTCAATTAAGCAGTCAATCAAGGCAACCTCTGAATCATTACCAGACCAGTGTGAGGAAATGCTTAATGTTTGTCTTGAAAAACTGTACCTGCCCACTGTGTGTGTAGGGGGCAGTTCTAGCAGCATTATCCATTTAAAATTATTTATATATGTCAGTAGTTGTCTGTGGACTTTTTAAGTAATTTCCCAGATTATAAAGCTAGGAGGACAATTATACCAGGGGAGCATAATACAGGATAATGGAGCTTCTTGAAAGAAATTTAGTTTGAACAAGATCTTTTACAAAGCACTAATTTGATTTGGAAATGGTCAGTTGTGGAGAAACAAACCATGGTGTGTTGCTTCTGTTGTAATTTGTGATAGTTTTGCTTCAGTCTCTGAAATGCTGGGGTTTCAACCTCAAGCCCCAAATTAAGGCTGACATCTGGGTGATTCCCACAGCCCTTCCCAAAGGGGGGTGAGTTTGCCTTTAGGCTTCCCTCCAGGGTGCTCCGGCCTGGCAGGGAGAGCCATTGGGTAAATGAGCCCCAGGTGTCTGCATTAAGTAAACAAGGGTCAGGTGTCCCACTTGGGGATAAAAGCTGGGACCACTTGCAGGTAGGGGCAATGTCTGTCTGTGAGGTGGATGTCCTGTGCAGAGTTCCCTGTTGGGGAGGGACCTCCTGCCTCCCTGGGACTGGGCTCCAGTCAGGTCAGGCTTTTGTAAATGTGGGCTGTGTAGAGATTCAGTGTGTGGCTTCCTTGGTCTTATGTATTTGGCTTGTTGTCTCCCATCCCTTCTATGGGAAACTGCATTTCACCATTTATTCCCCCCATTGTTGGTTGTGTGCTGCTGTTGTTGTTGGGGTCAGTGGGATTGATGTTGATTATACATAATCTTATTGACTTGTTTGTACCCCCAGTGCTCACCCATGTACTGACCCTTTTGTATCAAATACAATTTGGTTATTGGTTCGTCTTTATGCTGGCTGTGTCCTTTATGCTAGGCCTGATAATTGGCAAAACAGTCTCCAGCTGCTGTTCTGTAGCTTACGTGGCAGTTAGGAATATGTTCTGTTACACTGTTTACTACTTCTTTCCTATGAACACTTACAGTCTGAGATCAAAGTACATTTTCTTTATCACAGAATCATCTAGGTTGGAAAGGACCCTGGAGATCATCTAGTCCAACCTCTCACCTAGCACAGTTCCCACCTACAGCATATCCTTAAGCTCTAAATTGACCCTACTCTTGAACACCTCCAGGGATGGGGACTCCACCACCTCCCTGGGCAGCCCATTCCAACACCCAACAACCCGTTCTGGAAAGAAATGCTTCCTAATATCTAGTCTGAACTTTCCCTGGTGCAATGTACCTAAAAGAAATTTAGTTAAATGTAATTTTATTTATTAATTCCCTGCTATGACTCCCATTTCCCAATTCTTGAGTTATTCCCCAGTTCTGTCCAGTTTGCCAGTCACCACATGGAGGGGGAGTGTCAGACCCAGCCTGTCTTGGCAGCTCCTGTGTGCATGAATGGGACCTGTATGATCTCCCTACTAGGTCTTCTCTGACCCTGCTTTAACAAATTGACCAGTAATCCTTTGTGCAGCACCATCACAGCAGGAGCTTCAGGTCATTTGTTATGCAGGGCATATTTCAGGCCACCACTTCCAAGGATGGAGCCCATTGCAGTGCTGTCATGTGTTGCTCAATGGATATCATCCAGTATTTAGGGATTCCCAAACATTGTATGTGCAAATGCAACCCTGTGCTGTTCAGGTAGTACCAGACCTTCTGGGCACATGTGGGATGCTGCAGCCTCTCTGCAGAAGGTCATGGTTGGCCTGGGTGGGTACGCTGGCACCTTGGGCAGGGTTTCTACATGTGCCACAGCCTGGTAGTCCTGGATGAAGCCCTTACCCGAGCAGTTTCTCCCCTTGTTAGTTATCCTTCCTTCAGTGTTTGTCATAGCAGCACACTTCAGTAGTGAAGATTGTGTGGATGTATCACACACACTGATAAGGAGATTAAGTTTCATCAGCTCTGAGGGACCCTGTTTGAAAGTCATCACCCAGTTATATTTCAATGTCTATTTATCTAGTTGTCAAATGTTAGTCTTTATAAATGTACTGTTGAAATCTGATTTGGGTAGCATTCAAGTATATGGGTAGTGAAATCTCTCACTGTTGCAGAGATGCATTTCAGGCATCTTTGAAATAAAAATGAAACCTTCTTCCAGGTGTGGGTATAAAGTGGATGCAGCTTGATGAGACACTTGGCAAAGCAGTGTCGAGCAGTGCCATGCTGGGAGGACCGAGCAGTCTCCCTGCCCTCTCAGCAGAGCCTGGTGCTGGTGGGGCACTGGACTGACACGGCTCTTTGGGCTTCTGGTCTAAGGTGATTCCCACAAACTCAAACCAGAGCATCTCTGCACCTTGCTTCCCATCCAAAGCCACCTCAGGAGGTGCCAACACAAGGGGGCTTGAATGCCTTTCAAGGCTTTCAAAACCCTCATCCCCAGTGCAGCCACCTTAACAACCCATCCTTAACGAGTCGTGACTCATAGCAACGGAGCGAGAACCAGCACAGCACAAACGGGCACTGTAACTCCAGTGAGCATTTGAGCATTTCCATGGAGTTCAATCAGTACTGTTGAAGAATCATAAACTCAGAGTGTTGGCTGATTTTTAGGAGTCTTTAACTATGTATGCTACCAAAGCCCTGCTCTTTGCAGGTGC